AACGTTTCATTAGAGAAGAACCCGTCCAGAAGACCTATACAATTTTTTTCTTTTTGATTTTTTACCTGGATTACTGAGATGCATCAGGACATTCCCTAAAACTTGTCTTGAAACATTTTTTTCAACATATTAATATTATTCTGTCAATAAAATTTACATTTGTTTCTGTAAAAAATTTCTGCCACCTTTTCTTTATATTTTATTCTTTCTTTCAAAAATCCTGCCATTTTTCTCTGAGTGGATCTAATACACAGTGCAACAAAATTATTTTCTCTTGTTTTCATTTTCAACGGCAGTAAAAATGTCCAAAGAGTAAAATATAAGTGTAGGTAAAATAGAAGTACTTTGAGCTGGTTGGTAAGCTGTTGGTTTTCCACAGAGAGGTTTTCTTTGGCCAGGGCCAGGTGCTCACACTCCTGCTGCAGTTTGGAGTTTTTTGCCTGGATCTGCTCCAGTTCCTTGATGGATCGCTCATAAAGGATCTGAGGATTGACAGGCCAGGTTTAATCATCCAAAAGCACACAAAGACACATTACTCACTCTGAATGATTACAGATAAACAGACTGGGTTTGTATTTTTCTCAATAAATTCAGAACTATCAACAACAGTTCACTTATTTAAAGCAGATGTTTGTATTTACAGTATAAAAAGGCWTTTTCTCACTGTCTGACATCAAATCAAAGTAAAACTTTCTTGTTAGTTCAGTTGGGAATCTCCAAAATATTTTAATGTGATTAATTTCTGAATAATGAGAAATAATTGTTTAATGACCATTTATTATGTTCTTCAAAGTCACATGTGTACACACATTTTCTTAGAATTTGGTAGTGTTGTCTTGAACTGTATTTGAGTTGAATGTTTTGGGTTTCTCTCCAAGGTTTCTCAGTTGGGACGACCCATTTGTGTCCAAGCTTCAACTTCCTGTGTATATTCATGTAAAGTTCTTTCTGCATCATTCCATCTGTCCTGTGAGGTTCACCAGTCTCTCCTACAGCAAATCACCCCCACACCATGATGCTGCCACCACCGTACCTCACAGTTAGAATGGTGTTCTCAGTTTCACACATTCATCATTTTCCCTCCAAATGTAACAATGGTTTTTATGGCCAAACAGTTGAGTTTTAGTGTCACCAGCTCACAGGATGTGTGTGTTTACAGACCTGACCGTTTCTGGTGCACATGGAATGATGTCTGCTTCCTTGTTGAGTGGCTGTTCAGTCAATGTTGGTCCAGAACAGCATCTTTTGTTTTTATGGTTGATATCCATGTTTTACACCAAAACTAAAGGAAACTCTCAGGAAAACAAACCAAACACCACTACTACCTGAGTGGTTTGATGCGGGACGTTCCATGTTATTTAGACCAGAGGTTCTCAAACTGGGGTCCCAGGACCCCCAGCGGTCCGCGAGCTGTATCTTGGGGTTCCTCAAAAAATTTCAATAAATTGTTAATTTGGTTTTTATTTAAAATACATGCATGTGGGGAACAAAACACTGATAAAACAAACACATTAAACCAGGGCTATTCAACTAAATCGCTCCGGGGGCCACAGTTACTGCCGGTCAACAGGTGAGGGGCCGAACATCCAACAATTAAAGTTATTATGTCAATAAACCAAGTACTACAAAGATCTGTTACCGTTTAATTAGTTTATTTTGCTGCATTTAATCATGAATACAACTTACAGAACCCTATAAAAGTAGTGATAATTACACATTATCAAGAACAAAAAGAACACATTTTACCTCCTATTTGGCATAAATAATATTTTGACATCTCTGACTTGCCAAATTTTTAAACCAATTTTATTTTCACTTTCATGATTTTATCTTTAACTGCTTGTAGTTTTAACTGTCTTGAGTGTTTATAGAAATGTTTTTTACCAGCTTGTAGCCAAGATTTAGATGCTTCTGTAGATACCAAACATGTCTATGTTAAACTAAAATAACTTAGAGTAATTAAAGTAGAAAACCAGGGGTTTGGGCTTAAAAGATGAATGAACCAGTTGGCGGGCCGAACTTTGGTCACTCGTGGGCCGGATGTGGCCTGCGGGCCGCCAGTTGAATAGCCCTGCACTAAACCAAACAAAAAATACTATTCCCCTGGAACTCAGTGGTTAAAATGCCAGTAAATTACTTTTAAAACAGCATGGGGTTTATGAGGGGCTGCCTGGAACATTTTCATCCTTGTAAGGGGTCCCCAGACCCAAAATGTTTGAGAACACCTGCTTCAGACCTTCATATAATTCCCTGAACAGATAAAAGTTTCTTCTTCCAACAGATGGAAATAGATTTTATGGATGAGACAGACTTGTGGACAATATTTCTCTTCCCGGTACAGAGGTATTTAATTTTTTTCCTGATTTATATTTATTTTTTGTCAGCTAACCTATCAGAAGTTTAAAAAGCCTGAAACATCTGGGCTGTCCCAAAATGTTCAACTACTGTGTAGTAATCTTTGTGTATACTTGTGTCTTTAAAGAAAGGTACATTTTTGAGCTTTTAAACTGAAATAAATCTGGAAATAGTGATGTATAACGGTAAAGTTTATTGTGAGATGATGTCAGACATGTCATTTTAACAATATATTCATGTCAGATAGGATTACCTTCAGCTCTTTGACTTTCTGCTCCTGTTTGTGCTGCTCCTCGTTGGCCTTCTGGACTTGTTGCTTCTGAGTTTTGATCTCAGACGTCCTGGCCTCCATGTCAGTGTGCAGCTGCTTCACCTCCTTCTCCAGTTTCTCCTTCAGACTTGTTTCTCTGGAAATCTCGTTCTGCTGGGTCTGAAGGCCCTGCTGCAGCTGAGGACAGAAACACAGTTTAGATGGGGTTTCTACATCAGGTTGTGCTGCCCCCTGGTGGACAAAAAGCAAAACACACCACTGGGCTGTGGAGAAATGATACTCAGGACATTTCTCAGGAAGAAAAACTCCTGCAGCTCATCTGAGTTTATATTTTCTCACAGCGCTCACGTCCTCTGCYGGGGTCCAAGCGCCAAACTCTGTCATTCATGTCAGTAAACCTCCTAATTTCACTCTGTCTTTGTGTGAGTCTCTCTGGGTTCAACTTGGAGACAGTGTTTGATTGTGTAGCTGTGGGGGGTGCTCTTTGAGTGTTAGATATTAAACAAAATAATGTCATTACAATGAAGAGAAATTTAATGATATTAATATGACAAATGGAGGATTCTCTATTATTCATTTTAATAGTAGAAGTATAAATGCAAATGTATTTAAAGTAAAAGGTTAGGGCTGGGCCATATGGCAGAAAAAATGATCACGATTAATTTTTTCATATCGTCCGATCTCGATTAATATCATGATTTTCTGTTAACCTAAAAGGTGACTGAGACGTGGCTCGATGATGAAAATATAAATAATGTTCACACTGAGGTATGGACTTTTTCATATCAACAGAAACAATAAAAGAGGTGGTGCAGTTGTTCTATTTCTTAATAATGAAATAAAATGTAAAATAAACAATAAAGCATCAATAATTGTTTATAATATTATGGGAATAATTACAATTGAAATAAAGTGCCTGTGACATGCATATTCTTCAAATACAAAAAGACATAGAAAACATTTATATTTAAGAAACTTTGCATAATACACACGATTTTACCCATTTTGTAACATAACTGGTATATTTTCCTTTGAAATTGGCTCATTCAAAGTGAAACAGGAAGTGACATCAAAGGGGAACTCTCTGTCTTTGTTTATCGAATCAATATTTTTTGAACTCTCACTGTTCTTCATCTCTCTGACAGTGATTTAAAATAACTTAAAGAATCATCAGATTCTTCTCTAGTCTGTGTTGTTGGCTGTTGTAACAACGCTCTGTTTACATGCTGACATTCCCCTTTGACATCACTTCCTGTTACCTCACATGCAAATATCTCAACAACTGTTCATCTCAGTGACGTGAAATTTATTTCTTTTGCATTATTTTTTCAATGTAATTTTTCCAAAAATGCATTCATATGTAGTACAAAAATTTGACAACACAGGCACTTTAAATACAAATACTAAAAAAATAAGTTGTGTACAGAGTTGTAAAGTAACTAAGAACAAATACTTCTTTACTGTACTTAAGTAGAATTTTTGGGTATCTGTACTTTACTTGAGTAATTATTTTTCAGCCTAACTTTTACTTCTACTTCTTAAATTTTTACAGTTATCTGTACTTTCTACTCATTACATTTTTTAAAAAGGTAAGAAGTAGAAAGTCGTTRCTCTTATTTCATTACAGCTTGTTGTTAAAAATATTATCCTCCTGGATAGAGTGAATTTAATTGTGGTTGGATGAGAAGTATAATATATATTATTCTGATCCTGTATTAGGGGTGTAAGAAAATATCGATACACTGAAATATCGCGATATTTCATTTCCCAATATTGTATTGATATTCTAAAG